GCAGTGAAAATTTAAGAGATAGAGCTACAACATTTCCATTGTGCATCTATTCCAATTTGATCATTTTCCAGGACTAAATTCAGTTGCAAGTTCCAGTTTTGACACAGCAGTTGCCAACGGATTGACGAAGGAGCGCTGGGGGTTATGGGCTTTCATTTTGTTCAAATAAGGGGATTAGTTGTGGGCTGGCAATAATTTATGCCCACAGCTCCAGAAGCCCAAAAAGAAAGAAAAGAGTGGGTTAAATTGGCAATAATTTAAGCCCACAGCTCCAGAAGTTGGAAGGAAAACATGGTTGTGTGGGGATATATATTTACCAACTTGGTTGTTGGTGTGCGAAATTGAATTGAAGGAGGAGAAACACAGCAGCTGTGTTCGGCATTGCTCTTGCTCATAGTGGATTGGATTTTCTTATTGGTGTCTGTTAATTTTTTAATATTTCTTTGCTGGGTTTCTTTTTAACTTTTCATGGTTATTGAAAACTTGGTTACAAGTGATAAATTATTTGAACTGGAGTTAGATGTAGTTTAGAGCTATTCGTATTCGGTCTAAATTGATTGAATCGATTAAAACTAATTCAGTTTGATTAAATTTTGATTGAAATTCAATCTAAACTAACATTACTTACTTTGGGTTAGTATGGCTTATAAAATTTAAAAATTAATATAATTTGTTTAGCTTATAATTCTACTTTTAAACTGATCAAACCACATTTTTACAAAATAATTAAATTAAATAATATAATACTTTTACTTTTTTTTTGGTAAATATATTTTTTGAATTTTTTAGTAAAATAAAAATATAATTAACAAATTTTATACAAATTATATTTTATATACAAAAATATTTTTTGTACACAGATTCTATTTTCAAATTTTCTTTTCTTATTGTACCTTCTTATTTCTATAGTATAATACTTTTTAATTTTTTACTATAATATTAATTTTATGGGCTATCCTTTATTTTATTTTATATTTGTTCTATAATTAGACAATATAACTTAGTTAATTTAATTAAAAAATAATATAGCTTTAAATCGTTTGTTATCATCTTTAGTGGCAACAAGATGGGTTTATATATCTTGGTTGCCTTATTGGTACTATCTTTTTGTTATCTATGATATTAATGTGTTTTATAATTGTGTTTTATACAATTTGATAGTCAAATTTTTTACCTAATCAAATATATTTAAAATAATATTAAAAATTGATCAATCTGACCGAATAACACCAATTCAATCGAATGATTATAAGATAATAGAGGAATGGATTAGTTTAAAAATTTTATTAACTGATTAAATTGATTTAGTTTTAAAAATGTTAAAATTTGAATCAATTTGCACAGTCAATACCCCTAGATGTAGTTTAATTTTTAAATAATGTGATTGGATTAATTTAATTCAAGACTTATTTGTTATTCTCATGATAATTTATGTTGTTGAACTTAATGTTTTGAAAGTTTGATCACTTTTTGATTGATTTAGTAATTTTTGTATGAATTTAGAAAAGAATAGCATGAATTAAACTAATAACAATATAAATTATGTGTTAGATTATGAGACTGAGAGGTCATTAGTGTCACATGTGGTACTAGAAAAAGAGGAGATTTAGGAGCTTCTTCTTCTTAAACTAGAGGTGTCATTAAAGTTTAATACTTACCAATTTGTTTTAAGTTATTAGCTTAGCAAGCAAGGGAAGAATTAATTAGATTTGAACTAGTTAGTTAATTAAGGGAAATTTGTCATCTTGTACCATTACACTTAACAAATCTTAAGGTTTAATATCTTGGTCTTAAGTTAGATTAATTAATCAGTTACATAATTTATATTAAATGAAATCTAAACCCTGGATCATTTTCATTCATAGTTTCTTTTCAATTAGAAACTCCATTAAATTGAGCAATTCAATTTTCTTTAGTTGATCAATTTACTCAATTAATTCAACTTAGGTTAGATTGATACCATCGTTATAGTATAAGGTAATCTTTAAGAAAACAATATCTTACTCATCTTATATTGCATAATTGGCTAGTTTCACTTACTTAAGAGTAGTGCATATTTTATGCATCACCCATGTCAACATCTCATCTAAGTCTTGTAAATAAATTGGTGAATTTAAGTTCTTAAATAAAAAAGTAGAAAGTTGAGATCCTTCATAAGAAATGAAAAGTTTGAATCCTCAATCAATAAAAGGGTTTTTTTGGTACATATTAAGGGTGTTATTATTGTATTATTTTTAACATTAATTAGTTTTAAAATATAAAAAGTTAACCTTTGTTTAATCAATTATTCAATTAAAATGATCTACATGACATTGGTAAAATTAAACATGACATTTGTATTTTTCAATACTAATTAGTGTAAAAAGTATGCAAATAACTCAACCATAAATATGTGCTTTAAAAAAATTATTAATAAAATCTATGAAGTTATAGTCCCTATTTACCGTAGGAATTGACAAAAATTAAAACTTCCTGACAACTAAAATGTTAGGAATAATAATGAAAAAACTAAAATACCATTAATGAATTAACACACAAAAATGATTTATTAAGGGTATTTGAACAATTTTACAAAGAATCTCAAAAAAAAAAAAAATGTCAAGATATCCTAATTTTTACTTTTCTTTTTATAATATTTCACCTTACATCTCTGACTCTAAATCCAAGCTATAGCTTGCTGATTTCAAATTTTGGATATAAAATTTAGTCTCATCATGTACATATATACTAAAGTATGGGATAAATAAAAGATGAATAAGAACTAAGGTTCTATATATAGTTCCCTCTGTATTTATTATGGTTAAGGGAATGGTAACGACTAATTTTATCCAATTTAACGTGCAGCGGACTTTGAGTGCATTTAATACACTTGAGTGTGTGAAGGCCAAAAAAAAAAAAAAAAAGACCTGAGTGTAGCATATATAGGAGAAACATACAATCACAACTATTAATTTATGAAGTATAGTATGAATCATAACTTTATTATAATTTATTATTTTTGTAATCACAACTATTAATTTATGGAATATAATGTGAGTCATAACTTTATCATAATTTAATATTTTCACTCTCCAAATCAAGAATTACTTGTAATTAAGTAGAGTTTAAATATGTGCTTAAAAAAACGTGGCATTCTAAATGTGTGCCAAACATTAAAATAGGATGACAAGCAAAAAAAATTTTTAAAAAATGAAATTCCATTGGAAAACCATAAATACAAGATTTGAAAAAAATTTCGAGATATCTACATTTCAAAATGTTTTAATTCAACACTAATTTAGTTCATCGATTGCTTCTATTGATACTTTGAAACTTTAATATTAGTGTAGAAGAGATTCAATTCTATCAACGATTCTCTATTTTTGTTGTTTTTGGTTTAGTTCCAACAGTTAGTTGTTTTTCATCTACCATCAAACTTTGTATTTGTATCATCAATTTACATTTTTGTCTGGTTGACTAGATTCATTTCCTGCTTTATTAGCAAATTTATATTTCAGCATTTAGTTGTAATTCTTCTTAAAATTTCAAGTAAATATCTTAGTTTCTTTTATTTGTGTTAGCAGTTAATTCTTTACATTTCTGTTAGTTTCAATTTATGTTTCTGTTAGTTTCAATTAACGTTTCTGCCAGCACTTTTAGTTTTTAATTCTAACTAACATTTAAGATTTTTGGTACTTTTTAGTTTAATGCCTTTTTATTGTTTTTGTTTTAGATCATCCTCTGTTTCTGCCATACACTCCTCCCTTTTTTTTTCTTTCTTTTTTTGAATTTTTACCTATTTTGTTTAACAAACTAACTTAATTATAAGAAATCCTTAATATTCTTTTAGGATAATTATTTTTAAATTTTTATACAAGATTATATCCTTGTTTCATTAACTTTTAAATAAATTCTTACACTTGCAAATTAAAAGTGAGGGTGGTTAGAAATCTTCTTCTTTTTATATTTGTTATTATTATTATTATTTTTTTTGTGCTTTGAGCAAAGCATGTCCCACATTTGATCAATTTCTGCCACGAGTGGCTGAAAAGAAAGGATTTTGGAGGAAACACTAGTATTCTCACCATGATTCTTGTTGTTAACTGCTATGAGGATTTTCTTCTTTTTTTTTTTCTTTTTTTTTTAAAGAAAAGTATGGAGTTTCATTAATGAATTTTGTAATTCATATAACCTCCGTGCATTTGATGGAAAATATATTTAGGTGACACTCTTTGACTTTCTTGGACTATATGTAAAAAATGAGTTACTATATAATTGTAAATTTGCAATCATGCAGGATGTCAAACGAATGAAAACGGAGTATGTGAATGTTCTGTTCCTCTCTATGCTCTTCTATATATATATATATTGAATATTCATCTCATTTTCGAATTTGAGGACTTGATATCATGAATGTTTATACGTGAATAACTTAACATTTACAGTTTGATCTTATTTATAAAAAAGTTTTTAATAAATCAATGTCCATACATAGCATAAAACAAGATCTACACAAAGCGTGAAATTGAAAAGATGTCAAAGCACTTTACAAAGAGCACAATGCCCTTTGTGTCCCCTGCCGATGACCCGTGAACTAATTTTTGTGCCTTGAATTTCATGATTTTCCTAATGTAAAAGCAAATGTGCCAACACAATGGAAAATGGTGCGAACATTTAAACATCACCTCTTCAAGTAGGTCTTGGAATAAATTAGGCTAGGGAGCCCATTTATAATAAACAGGCAGCGAATACAAGCCTATCTAACCCTTTATGATAATACATTGGTTTTTGTTTTTGTTTATATTTTTTTATTTTTCTTAAGAATACATTAGGTAATAAGTTATATAATTAACAATAACCGTTCTTTTTCCTTGTTCTCGCTTCACCCATCTTAATGTTCAAACTTATGATCTTTTAACAATAAGTTTCACATTCTTAACTATTTAAGACATCCCTTGAAAAAGATTACGATACTTAGTGATTGTTATGGTGGTTGGTTAACCCATAAAGAATGCATCTGGCCCCAGTGGTTTCTTTTATGACATCATATATCGATGCTGGTATATAATGAAACAGATGTTCCAATATTAATGGCATTCACCATCTCCAGTTTTCATTTTACACTATCACATACATACATCCCAATTGCATAGCTACAATCTCAATTCCCTACGTCTTGTTTCGTACTTTCTTATGTTACATGGTAACACGAAATCTATGGACATAGCTAGGTTGCATTTTTTTCTTTTTTGATCAGTGACATAGCTAGATTACATAATGAACCCAATCTGCGTATATTGCTTCTACCACCTGCAAGCAAATATGGGAACTTGGCGTCTCTTAATCTGTGTATTAAACTAACTATCCTGACAAATGACTGGACTGACGTCTCTTCAGGTATCTCCAAGCCACTTGTATGCGGGTAGCTGCAAGGCTTCTCCAGTAAGGTGATTCATACCTGTCAGGAACGTGAACATGAACGTGGTCAAATAAAATTGCAGGATGTTGAATGTCTCATTAACACATTCAGTTTCATGGAACAAAAATAATAGCATGCATATCATCAAGTTCAATAAAAATGCAAGAAAATGCCCTGTGGTTGCGCATAGAGTTTAAAGTAGGAAGCAGAGGAATAGGATTAGAAAGCTAGGAAGAATATGGAGGATGTGCCATGTGATAAGATTAGAACAACAATAAAGCACATGGATAACAAGATTTGAACCAATATATAAATAAATAGTGGTGGGATTTTAGATTCAGGGAAGGTTAATGTACGTTAAGATCAAGTAGCCCAGAGAATAATGAGTTGGTCATTTGTAAATTCACTCAATCAGTGAGTTGTAGCTATTCTTTTGTTGCTTGTGAACTGATCATTTGGATTTGGTTTATTTATTTGTTCTCTTTTTTTTCCTGTGACTAAGAGCCTCTAAAATGCAACCATGCCAATAATTAAGACTACTGCTACATGTATACTACTATCGTAATGTCATCTCTAGGAAAACAAGTCATGGTTCATCGATTGGACATATCAGAACAAAATCACTGTATAAAATTCAAAGAATATCTTTTTTGGTTGAAAGATTGTTTGCTTCAACCTAACATAAAGAGTCCAATGCATAAATGTGAAAACAACCTTAGTTGAGCAGAGTAGGTGTATGCATATTTCTGCTTCCTGAATTTAATACCAAGCCATTTTTGGAATTGCTTTTGTTTGATGTCTTCCTTATTTTCCTTTATAAACATTGCTGTGACTTATTATTTTATACCAAAACCCCAAAATAGCTACATTTAACAGCAAAGGGTTTGGGGGATTCACTTGAAGCCTTCGTAGTTTTCAGGTAGAGTCTTAAATATTCTCACTTTAAGAAAATATGAAGAAGAATATAGTTATGCATCACGATTCATATTTGTAAAAGAAATACCTTATGGCTCCTTGAACACGAGGATTACGCAAGAATCTGGAGAAAAGACTGGTAACTTCTTGAAGATCAGCAGCTCGGAGAGAAAATGCTTCAACATTTGTCAAACACCGTACCATTCTATTACTGAGCAATCGCTGTCCAGGAATTCTTATTTGTTTTCCATCTGCAACCAAAACCGTTCCCTTAGTTTAGAATTACTGTTTTGGCATTTTGAAAAGTTTTATACAGGTTTTTTGTCAATAAACCAAAAGAAAAAGTTAACTTGATATTGAATTGTACTTATACCTCTGTTAACAGTGGAATGCTCAAGACACCAAGTGAGAAGCTCCTCACCACAAACATCCCCCACAGATAAAGGAACTCTGATTTTATCTTCTCCAATGCTTTCCATTTTTCCACGCACAATAAAAACTATTTTGTCAATAAGACAACCAGGACTAAAAACTCTGCTTTCTTTGATATAGGTTTTTTGTCGTATTCTCTCACAGATGGCATCTAATATAGGATCATCCATCAGAGCAAAAATTCGAACCTACAGAATGAGGCACTTTCCAGTTATCTTTAAAAAGTATAAATGCTGGCCAAAATGCAACATGTAAAAAAGATACCAATTTTCATGGTACAGTTAATCATACACCAACACTAATATCTTTCTGGATAAAATTTATGGTTTCATGCTCTATGAATTGTGAATAATATATTCTGCTAGATAGCACTTGAAAATAAAAGTTCATTGGTACAGATAACTAAAGCTTTTAACATACCATTCTCAAAAAAGAAAGAAAGAAAAAAGCAGCTTTTAACACACACATACATTAAAGCATGTGCTGTTTCCAGTGAAATACATAACAGAAAACCACTGACTTTCTATTGTCTCTACTTCTGCAAGGTCAGAGTTTTCTATAGGCTGATTTAAAAAAAAAAAAATTATCTATTATATCACTTAGAGAAGTGTTGATCGTCAACTTTTGGAGATAGTTATTAATCCTTGTCTTTATAAATAACCCACAAACAATTTAAGTTACCTGGCAAAAATTCACTCGACCCATCAACCCGATCTTAACCTGACTTGTAAAAAATGGGTTAGGATCTACATATCTCAACCCACAACTCGTAGATAATCCGTATTATCAACCCGTATGAGTCACGGGTCGGGTTAGTATCAACCCGTGGGTTGACGGGTTGAGCCATTTGTTTTATTTTTTATTATTATTTTTAAATATTATACTTATTATCCTTAATTAATTTTCTTATTGGTAACTCTTTCCATTAATTCATACTTCCTAATTTCTAAAGAAAGAAAAAGAAATTATGATAAATTTGATCTAATTACCCAAGTATTATTTTTTTTTTTTTGGTATTAACAATTACCCAAGTATTGTGAATGAAATGATCATACAACTAAAAATATTAAAAGATGTGATGTTAGGACATAAACATAATAACTTAGTGAAAGATGTTATTGGAAGAGCAATTTCATCATTAAAAAAATGGATTAAACTACTTGATAATGTTTCAAAATGATTATAAAATTAAAACTTTATTTTCCAAGAAATTTAAATATTTTACGTTTAATATTTTTATTGTTAATTAACTTATTATTATTTATAACTTTTTTATTTTTTTCTTAATTTAAATGTTTTTGATTGAAACTATAAAGTATTTTTAGTGTTAATCAATCACAATATTTTAATTAGATTTATATATAATTTTATTTATATATAATAAAATTAACAAAAAATAATTATAAAAAATGAAAATAAGGTCAACCCGCGGGTTAACCCATAACCCGTTAGGATCGGGTTAGGGTTAGACTTTTTCAACCCGCGACCCGTTTATAAACCAACCCGTATAACCTGTCACCCGAGTTGAACTGACCCGAACCTAACCCAACCCGCCCGTTTGCCAGGTCTACATGTTAATAATTTTCATAATTGTCTTTGACTCATATTATCATTTTCCTTGCACCATCTTCACCATTATTATTCATAGATTGCAGATTATATACATAGTTACTTTAACACTTGCCATCCCATCATTAATAGTTGGCATCAGAGCTAATTAATCTCATACTATCATTATGCTATTCTCTCAGTAAAGTTTGCAATGATACCAAAAATTGGTGCATGAACTTAATCAATTCATTTCTAATTATAAAAGTATGACTAAGCAAAGCAGATAGATGACAAAAAATATCATGAAGGGGTATATGTATGTATGTATGTATGTATGTATGTATGTAACTTTAGAAATGCACCTTCTTAACAAATTTGAAGAGATGCCGTCTTATATCTCTCTGAAGGTCTTCAGGCAAGTTCTCAAAAAGTATCTCTTCGTTTACCCCTCTGGTGGCAGCCCAACTATATCGTTCAGCTTCTCTTACTCTCCTGAATAACAAATCAATTTCCATGCATTAATTCTGAAATTATACATCAGATTATCAAATTGGTTTACATAAAACAACTAAATCGATCATGTATGGGCATAAGAATTCGTCAACCATCATGCCATATGTGCTGAAACTAATTTTTTTAATTGGCAAATTTGGTAGTCTAATTTACTTAACTAATGCAGAGAATTGAACCCTTCACCTCCATGCATAATCAAGGTTTTGAGGCAAGTGGGTGGCAACTCAACTAACCTTTTGATGGTATATGTTTTGAAACTTTAAAATTTATTGAGTCTTAATTGTCACAAAGCTATGTATGAGTTGCACAAAATAAAAGAAGTTAGAAATGAATGTAAGGTGTGAAGTCTCTGGAAGTGATTGAAGTCTAATAAAATTTCAAGTAATCTTATACAACTAGGAGAAGCAAGGAACAACTAGTTTCTTTTTGCTAAAGATAACAAACTCTAATTGAATTCTGCTATTTCAGAAATTACATAATTATCTCTGGATCATAGAATTACATAACTGCAAAACAATCTCCCAATTATGGTAAAAAATCAAATAATAAAAATTATAAATTAACAAATGGTAATGCCATGCTTGAGCTTGTAGCTCAGTTGATAGAGTGTGTATTTCCTAGCCTAAAGTGCTGGGCTTAAGTTCCCCCTCCCATAACATGAAAAACTAGAACAGATTCTCACAAGCCCTTGACCCTATGGCAATTAATGAATAGGAAGTTCCTAATGAAAGGACCTAACTTTGTGAAAATCAACCAATCAAGTGAACTGCCACAAGGGATTCCATGTATTTGTAGGAATAGCATTATCATTGGTCATAAAATATAATTTGATTTACTTCCAATAACTGTATCAGAAATGCTTTTCTAATATGCTACCAAATAGTGGCTTGAGTTTATAGGACCATTATCAGATACTCCTTAAAAAGAAAAGGGTTCTAACAGCAATTAAAGTTGTGGCTGGAAAAAATACAAAGGTCAAATGATTAAACAAGTTAGAAGGTTGTACATAAATTAATCTAATAAACAGGATGATATAATGAGAATTGATAAAAAAGAACAAATGAAAATGAAATACCTCCTAAGTCCCTCTGGCAAGCGTCTGTGGCTCATCCATTGCTCGACATCACGGCGTCTTAGTGACATTTCTAACCTCCTAGAAAAGTCAATAAGCATATAGTTTGTTGGAAAAGATAACTTGAGATAAGAAATATGATACTTTTTCTGGTTTGGAAGCGCTTTTTCTTTAAAAAGGAAAAAAGAATAAGAAAAGAAAAGCTGTTCTCATGTTCTCTCTTCAGTCTTGCTGTGTATGGCCTAGCTAGACTCGCAAAACCTACAGCTGACCTTGCTTTAACCAAGAGATGATGTACCTAACTCTGGTATGGTCTAGCACAGGAATTCGTGGTTATCATTTGTGACCTCAATCAAATCGTTCTTGCCAAGTGAAATGGAAGATCTAGATTGTATTTTATAGTCTCATCAAAGTTTGACTTCAGGGTTTCAGAGGAGGGTATTGAATTATGAAGTGACTGTATCAGACTCATATGGTATATCCAGTAGAACTTGTCAATTTCTTCACAGCTGTTTTAAAGGCATTCTACTTGGGTGTCTGCTATCTTAATCCAATAAGGTCATATTTGTCTATTGATAACCATGTCCAAAATAATAACATTCTTATAAAAATTTTTTATATTATATGCCCCATACCACAAATCCTATTTCAGACTTCTTTTAATAATTATTGCATGGGGAAGCTCAACAAGAACCATAGGACTTCATGTTGGTTGGCAGCACCAATGATTACAAGAAAGTCAAGAATAACTTATGAATACAAGCATGGTAGATAGCTCAAACTAACTATTATTATGCACCATTAGTAAATCAGAACACTAGCTATGTATTGAATGTGCTATGGTCCAATCAATGTGCTTCAGCATAACATTTGAACAAACATGAAAAACTTTTGGTGAAAACTTTTACCTCCGTCCAAGTGCTTGGAGAAAATTCTGCATATTTCCAATCAAAAGGGCGAAAAGCAACAGGCCAAGTCCAATTATGGCCATGGTAAAGAGAACTTCCCAAACAAAGTAGCTTGGAGTTTGATTTCCAGCGAGAGTACTGATTTGCTTCATTAAGTACATACAAAATGTAATGTCAGTAGCATGGATATTTAGCTCATAGACTAGATCTAAATTTTTAATCTATCAGAAAACATACTCACTAAAACATATTAACAGAAAGGAAGTTATAGAAAACAACTTTTCCCTGTTAGAGATGGATGAATTATCAATTTCACCACTTTCAATTGATTGCTAATAATAGGATGAGAGATCTATAAGGAAAAAAAGCATAAAATCCATGCAATACAGGGAACATCTCTTGCATTATAAGGATGAAATGCCGTACGATACTTACACTGAAAATTAAACAAAAAAACAAGTTTTCAAAAAACCTAAAAATCAGTGTGGAAGATAAACACATCTGTTGAGAAGAGAAAGAAATTAATTTTATCCATGAAATATGACTGGCATAATGGGATGGTGAGATGAGGAGAGGGTCATTTGAAACTCATGCACAGCATGCATCTACCAACATACCACATAAATGAGTGACATGTTTCATGTTGCCCTAGACATAATGGAATGAAGAAAAACATACACTTAGACATTACTGGAACAGTAATACGAGTACTATTATGCATGCAACTATGTTTTTATTAACAAAAAAATTAAATAAATAAAGACCGTAGAAACCAGAAAGCTCAGTTACTCAAGAAGAAGAAAACATGAAGGCCAAAAAAGGAAGAATAATACATGAAAAGTCCCTTCAATTAGCTGAAGACAAAGATGTTTACAAAGTTATTCAGCACAGAATGCAAAGGAATCTGAAAGTAAAATATACAGAAACTTGAATAAAGTAGATCCAAGTGTTGGCCAAAAGTAATAAAAAAAAATTAGATCCAAACGTTGGCCTTAAAAAAAGAGAAATGTAGATCCAAGTGAGTTCGTATCAGACCATAATTGTTCCAATCCTTGATCTCTAGTCTGGATTATTTTCAAGGGTCTAGGAGTTGTGGTAGAAGAAATTAGTCTTATCAATTTACTGACTGATTGTGTTTGAATAGGAAAAAGAAGACATAAGAAACCTACTTAAGGCATTACAACAAAACTTCCTTTTTTCTCATAAACAACAAAATTTCAACTGAAATATCAAAAAGAATACTAAATTTAAGAAATACTAAGCATGCCATTATAGGCAAAATGATGTGTCAAGGAAGGAAAATTCTATATATTATCTAGGACTAGCATTTTCCACCACGCTATGCGGGGCATTCATAACATATCATGTTTTTAAAAGAAGAAATATAAGAAGCATTATGTTCCTATATTATAACAATGTATACAAAATTTCATTTGTTTTTATCAAATTTTCTTATACCTTATGTGAAATAAGTATTGATTGACTTTTGCTAATGTGAAAGCACCTCTTCAATATTTATAACCACCTAAATTCACTTCATATATCTTTTGTTGTTTTTAAACTCCCTATAATGCTTAATTTTTAACATGTATTGTGCATTTTAAAGTCAAGTTTATCTATAATTTTATATACTTAATTTTTCATAATATAGGAGATGGTGAAGATCTTGTAGAATTTGAAGTTAAATTAAAGTGAATAATTTTCAAATTAAAATAAAAAAATACCAACCTATTAGGACACCGTTACCATGTATTTCAAATTTCAATCATCAAGATGTCATCCAAAAATCCAAGCCTAATTGCTCAAATTTTTAACTAAAAATTTTTAATTTAAGGACTTAAAAGTTACATCTTATAAGTTTGAGGGCTTAATCATTAATTTAACCTCATCAATTTCTATGTAATTATGTCTTTTAGTGGTGTGTACCACTTACAAACAAAAAACCCTCCAAATTTTCTTGAAATTACTAAGAGACCATAATTTCAATCAACCAAAATGCCCTCAAACCCCAAATAATTTACAAAATTGTCACCACCCTTTGACTTTCTAGAGAGATAAACAAACAAAGAAGAGAGACAAAGGAAGAAGAAATGTTGATTGTTGACTCAAACCTCCTTATGCTACTCCGGATTTTATTTTTATTATGAATATTTAAGAATTAATTTGTGGACATGAAGTAATTTTATTGGGAATTAATTATATTAGGCTTAGCATATCATATTTATTAAGATTTGATTTAGTTTCATAGATTTTGTGAGATTTGATATTTTTTCATTAAGAATCCTATTAGGAGTCATGGTTTAAGTTTTCTATACAACTATTATTCTGGAACAAATTCAAACTACAAGGAAGCCTATTCATGCAAATAATAAATTGAGTGATGGTGGAAAGCCACTGGAGGTATGAGATATTGATAAAGCTAATTACCAGGACATCAATAAAATCATAGCATGATCAAACAATGCAGGACTGCACTTATTTGGATGCAGTGCATGGGATTATGTGATTTACTGAAGCATCTGGACAACTCATTTGAAGTATATTATGCATTAGAATAGCAAAGCATGTTGGAAGGAGCACGGCTTCATAAACAATTTCGACATGTAAAAAAGACTACGTGAACACAAAGCATATATGCAAATCTTAAAAAACAATCAAAAAAGGCATTGACATATGTGCCTCATGCCAAATAAAGGGCAAATTTGACATTTTGTCCCATTTTTGCCCTTCACTGCAATTCTCATGATAGGAATTTTTCCTCCCAAACTCTCCTGCAACATCTCCCACTAGGATTCTAGGACTGTCTTTGCAAGTTTTCTACAGTAAAGTTTAATGTCAACTTCTCACCAAACAAAGGAAAGTCAGCAATTTTTAAAAAATTTCTTACAAAAGTTACCAACTTCCAAACAAACTATCCAAGATAAATCTTTCCCCTTAAGCTTCCTAAAAACAAATA